ATTTGTTAATTCGATATGAAATTTTTAAAAATTTAGTTTTTTTTTTTTTTTTTAGATTAAGCATTTTATACATATTTCAAATTGTACTATTCTCTCTTTATATTGGTATTCTAAATTAGATCTATTAGCAAGTTATATACAAACAATTTCTAAATTAATTTGTATCTTATTATCTAATGTATCAATTGATGAAATGATTGTGCGATTTGCAGGTTAAAGTATACATACAGTTAGAATTAAAAATAAACCTACACCAGAAGGATACAAAATTCTTTCTCTTTGTGATGCAGGCTATACATATGCCTTTATGTTTACTTCACGAGTTTAAAATAATCCAGGAATAGAAAAAAATTCTACTTTAAATAAAGTCAGAAATAAGATTTATCATCTCGCTTCTCAATTACCTTTAAATAAATCTTTTAACATATATATGGACAATTATTTTTTTTCTATCACTCTCTTTCAATATCTGCACAATAATAATATTGGGATATGCAGAACTGTTCAAACTAATAGTGCAAAATTTTCAAAAATATTTAAAATAGATAAAAAACTAGATTGGAATACATTATCAGGAGTAGTAGTTAGTAGTGTTCTGGCTATTTTGTGGATAGACAATAGACTAATAACTATACTAACTACTATTTATGAAATTACTAGAGATGAATATAGAATTGAAAGAGTTTGATGTCAGCCTTGCGAAACCAGCACCAATATAGCAAAAGCATAGACAGTTTTTGGAACTGCAAGCAAAAAAGTCTTACCAATTTCTTGTGTAATTGATGATTATAACTACTATATAGGTGGAGTAGATATAGCTAATCAGCTATATGGGTATTATGGTATTTAATTGCCAGTAAGAAGAACTTGGATGTCCTTATTTTATTGGCTATTGGATACTTCTATTATCAATTCATATTTGATTTTTAAAAAAACTAGTCAAAATATTAGTCAAAAGACTTTCCGAATTTGGCTTGTATGAGCTCTAATTAGTGTGGGTATAGAAGAAAATAATTCAACTAAAAAACCAAATACCCAAAGTTTAATTAAAGAATTAGCTAAAAATATTGATACTCATCCCTCAAGAACACAATATATAACAAGCAAATTTGAGCTTCCCATATTAAGGTTATCTCTGAAAGGACATTTATCTGAATGAAGAAAAGATAGAATTAGCTATATATAGTGCAAGTATTTAGCAAAAAAATAATAAAAAAGCATCACAAAATCTATCACAATCCCAGGTTTATTGCAATAAATGCAATATATCTTTATATTGTAATAAGGATAGAGCCGATTGCTTTAAAAACTATCATACATGAAAAGAAGATAGTAACTAATACACAAAAAAATAAAAAAATAAAAAATAAAAAAATAAAAAATAAAAAAAATAAAAAAAATAAAAAAA